AGAAGGCTGAGGGGGGATCTTGTGGCCTGTTATAAACTAGTCAGGGGAGATCAGCAGGCATTGGGGGAGTCACTGTTCCCCCGAGCACTGCCAGGAGTGACCAGGAATAACGGTCACAAGCTGGCAGAGGGTAGGTTTAGGTTGGATATCAGGAGGCGCTATTTCACAGTCAGGACGGCGTGGGTCTGGAACCAACTTCCAAGAGAGGTGGTTCAGGTTTCTACCCTGGAGGTTTTTAAGAGGAGGTTAGATGAACACCTTGCTGGAGTCGTTTGATCCCAGTACTCTTTCCTGCCACGGCAGGGGGTCGGACTAGATGATCTGCTCAGGTCCCTTCCAACCCTAGAAACTATGAAACTATGAAAACAGTTACAAGTACTCAGCTGCTTTTTCTTTTAAGTAACTGAGTTCATTATCTGCTAATTTTAAACACATTAGTCAGCAATAACAGATTATTTGATTGACAAGGCAATTTTCTCCATTCCAATTTTAAAGATTGTTACAATTCTATTTAAAATTGAAAGTTACACTTCAGGCTTCTCAATAATTTAATTAGCGACCAATCTGTGAATCATTCCAGAATACACAAATTTTATTTTAATAGGTATGTCTAATGCAACCTATTCTCATGGTAAATGGATTCCATACCACGAAAGAGTAGTAGCATCTAACCTGTTGTGTAATGGTGTCCCAGGGACCCTCCAGTAAACGAGCACGGTAGCACTCATGAACACCATCCCATATTTCATCCAAAGTTAAAGGTCTTCCATCTGTAAAAATCCACATATTTGGGTTTTGTGTTAAATATATAAAATGCAGCTTGTAAACCTAAAAAATAATGATCGTTTGGAAGTGAAGACAGAACAATATAAAAAATATAACTGATCAAAATTCTGTGCCAGTAACCCCCAAATAGAATAGCTCAAATATTGACATGTATGTACACATAAAATTGTCTTCAACTCTACTGCACAGCCTCTCTTTCTGTAAAAGAGACATAACAACTTTCTTTCTAGCTATAGGAATGCTGCAATGCTAAATGAATTTTGTAAAGCTAAAGCTTCTTAAAAAATAGGTATCTAAGTGAAAAATTATGGCCATGTACAAACATTCAGTTTCCACCAAGAGAATAGCCATTATACTGGTAGAAACCCAAAGTGTGCAGTCATTCTAGCTTTTTCTTTCAGAGCAAAAATGGCTACTCCAAGAGAAAAAAACATGGAAACAACCAGAGTTAAATCACTTTCAGGAGAGTTTTCCTCTGGGAGACTGAATGTCTGCATGCTTTCACCTAGCTTAACTCCTCATAGAGCCTAGGAAGAGTGGAGGCAAGGGAAAGACTCCCATGCCTTCCCAAGCTCAGGGTCACCAGTCTGGAGAAGGCTGTGAGGAAGCTACTTCCCACAACCCATAGACCAGGAGGGGAGGAGAGAAGCAGCCGTCAACTGTTCCCCATCTGCTTCTCAGTCTGAAATTCCAGTGCAGATTGAGGCAGGGGCATTTTTCCATGCCAGCAAGGCTCCTGAGCCTTCCCACTGGCACAGCAGCCTGCCTCACCCCATTGTGCTCCAGGTCAGCTGGGCAGTATGGGTGGCAAGGGGAAGCTGGCAGGGCTGGGAGCCAGGCATACAGAGACTTTCGCAAGCTGGACTTCCCAGCCCTCTGGTTTTTAAATCACAGCTTTCACAGGGGGAGGCAAAGGGAAATCAGCACAGCCAAGAGCCAGATAACAAGCCGGCTTCTAGGCACACTGGCTTTTCAATCCCTGCTGCCAATTAATGGGCTCCCTGAAGGGCAGAGATGGGGGAGTTTGCCTGTGAAACTCTCCAACCATGGGGCTAGAGCAGGGGTGGACAAAATATGGTCACGCGGCTGGCCAGACAATTCCATCTGGCCCAGAGGGCCCCTCTGTAAACCCTGCCCCTCCGCAAGCCAGTGCCTCCATGCAGGAGGAGTGGCTCTGGTTCCTAAGCAAATCCATCCCTCCCTGCACCAGCCTGGCTTGACTGCTCTTCCTCCCCCCACCAGCTCCGAGCCATGGGGCACTAGAGACAAAAAGCCTCTGTCTGGCACA